ATCAGAAGCCAATATTGAAGCATCAAAATACCATGAAGTGAATCCTGCTGATCCAAAAACTTACATAGAAAGAACACATAAAGAAGTACGTTGTCCACAGCTGACCTCTGAGTTGGATGATCAGGCTCTTGCTCCACCTGTACGTTCTTCTCGACTGAAAAATGAAGTAGTGAACACTGTGGATCCAGTAAATGCTTCTACTAGACAAAGTGAACAGAGTAATATTCCACATGCAGTTAATGAGCAGACAGACAGTGTACTTCAGAGTCACAGTATAAATGAAAAAACCGCTTGTGTAAAAAATCAGTCTGTTCTTCAAGTAAGGTAAGTGTGTTATACTTAAGCAGAAATAGTAGGTTGCTTTTCTTTAGTGATTTCCAAATTGAATGTCAGCCTTTTAGATTTTCTGGTTTTCTTCTCGTGAAAAGACATAGCCTTTTGGTGGCTCACTAGGGAATATTCTGTGGTGTTCTTGACATCACAGGTCCAAGGTTATAGACATTGTAGTAATAAAAGCTTCTGATCTTCTTCTCTGAATGGTAGGCTTCTGACAGATTGTGTAGAGAGCCTGTTACCGGCCGTGTTCTGATGCCCTCAACGTAATGAGGAAAAAGCATCCATAGTTTTTTGCCTCAAAATTCTCACTAGTTCGGTAGAACACGATTTGACCCATTGGTTTGGCTGAAACCATAAAGAATTCTCTAATAGGCACTTAGTAGGAAGATGGCGTTACAGAACTGCTCTGCAAAAATTGAAACTGGAGTGCCTACAAACTAGTGAAAAAAACTCCCCCCGGCCTTTCTCCCTTTGTACTCAATTGCTTCCCTGCATGGGAAGAGAAGGATACAGCCTTGTTTAGTCATTCACTGTTCTCTTGCTCGTTGCTCTCGCACAAATTCTTATTTTCCTCTTTTTTTTTTTTTTCTTTTGCTTCTTGTGGTTATCTTTTCTAAACAAAAAAATAATTGTAGGCAACTTGCAAGGATAAATACAGATTCCATTATCTTAAATTTGTATCTGGAATATCCCTTGAGACAGGCAATGGCAGAGTATGAACAAAAATACATTTCTCCTTTTCTTGAGTTTCACATTTTTATTGTGCTTTTTTGATGTGGCTGGCTGGACTCTGCTTCTATGCAGTTTCCCTTCATGCATTATATTGTAACTTTGCAACTACCACAGAAATTATCAAAAACCTAGGATATTTTCCATGGTTCATTCAGGTAAATTTTGCTTTGCTACTGATTAGCATAATTTCACACAGCTGGTTTATTTGTTGTTCTGACCCCTGAAGCACAAAACTATTAAGTAATTAATTTTTTTGGGGGGGAAAAAGCTCTCTCCTTGCACATGTATTTGTGTGAAAACAGGAGTTACCCAAGCATAACCATGAATTTGGCTCCTTTCTCCTGCAGCATTGGGAGGAGGTAGTCAATGACAGAAAAATGCATGATCACCACATCACAGGAGCATGTTGGTTGCATAAAAGTTAATCAATGTAAGAAAAAAAGAAAATCAATTATTTCTTAGAGCAATTGCTACATCTGGTGAAGGCTACAGTATTTTGAAGACTTTGTGAAAGTTTTATGTGTACTATGTAATCTTTACGTGACTCAGAATTGCAAAGGGCTCTGGAAACCAGCATCTTTTGAAAGCTCTGCACTCCGAACGCTGGGACAGACACGCTGAACTGCACCGCAAGGAATGCTAATCACAGATCTCCCGTAACCAGGTTTCTAACCCACAGTGATTACACGCTGGATACTACAAGCCCAGTAACTTGGGATGATTAGAGTGATTTTTTGAGAGTTCTATCTTTTAAATATATAATGTGGTTTTTGCTTTGCTTTTGGAACGTGCGTATTAATTTACAGGTAAATGTATGTTGTGACGTTTTTTGGGGTTTTAATTTTTTTCACATTTTGATCTTCCCAGTGAACACTTATTTAAACAACCAGCAAAGACTGTTAAAAATATGAAACAAACATGCAGACCAGGTACAAATAGCTAAACATATTCCTTTCTTAGATAAT